CCATGTGAACTAGTTGTAAGCGTACAACACTTTACTAACAGTGACATTTGATTCTGTGGGTGCAAGTCTAAAATTGGTTCACTCTATACCAAATGTTTACAAAAAATCCTTTTTTTAACACTTTGGCCATGATTTTTCTTTTATTATTATTTTTTAAACCTCAGATGAGCAGTAAGAATCAATATAATTGCAGAAGTAACATACAGTGACACGGTTTTCTATAGGTGCAGACTTGTATGCTCTACCTGTTTAACTAGCTGGATCACTGACATTTAGATATCACTACACAGAAGGAAATGCATCAGCCTTAAAACTAGAACTTACCCTCTTCATCAGATTTTCTTCGTTCCTTTGTGCTTTCACTCAAATCCTTAGTATTATTTTTCCTTTCTAAGGGACTATGCTTGCTTTCATCTTTACTTTGCTTTAAAAGAGTAAAGACTGTATTAATCATCCTTGTCGCTGAGAAAAACAAAACAGTAATATTAACACAGCATTTATTATTTTAGTTTTGCTGTTAAATGGCTGGCTGCTATTAAAGATCTGAACACTAAACCACTGACACCACAAAGCCAACTTTCGAGCAGTTGAAGGGCTGTCTGAGTAGGAAACCAACTCCTACCCTCCTTTTGAAGTTTCATGAAAGAAGTGATGCAAACCAGCTGTCCAGAGACAGATCACAAGGAAACGCTACTTTCTGTGTGCGGGCTGCTATTAAAGATCTGAACACTAAACCACTGACACCACAAAGCCAATTGCACTTGCACTCTACCTATTACTGCACTGCATTTCACCCTGCCTGCCCTTTTTTGACAGACAATCTCAGTTTCTAAGCACACATGCAATTTGTGGTTTTATTCTTTTACATTTAAGAATAGTAGCAATATAAAGATAGGTGAGTCATATTCCCACGGAAAACAAGATGCACCCAAATGTTAAGCTTCTCAGATTGACAGGTTTATTAAATGGAAAAAAAAGCCCTACTGGCAACATGTTTTGAAAAATATACTCAATGTGGCTGAGCCAGGCTGTTATAATGTACCCATAGGTGACTTCTTGGCCACCTGTGACTTAATTCTCCTCAGCTGAAATCTCACATGGGCCCTAAAACCTAGTGAGAATTATGTCCAGACTAGACTATTTCCATAGAAGCTTGTTCAAAGTGTGTCCCTAAAGCAAAGAAAATGCATTAATTTTTGCAGTATCCCAAAATTTAGAAAAACAGGAGAAGGTTTTTTGCTTTTTGTCTGTTTTTTTTTTTTTTTTACAAGGCTTTAAGTAACTAGTTTAGTTTGGAACTAAACTAAATGTGAGAAGCATCAAAAAGTTACAGTGGTGGGAAATGCACAGGAAAACTCTGCAGTTTGAAGAGAGATGACAGCTGATCCAGCAGGCTGACCTATGGTTTAGCATACTAATAATTTTCTATATGAACTTTTCTATAATATAGAACATTTTAGATTACTAAAATACAAATATTAGCCCTATATTTGAATACATACCTTATTTTCTTTCTTATTATTTGAGCTTCCACCAGCCGTGACACCACCTGATACATTAAGGGACAGGTTCAAAAGTTAATACCTTAAGCAAACATTGTGGCAAAGTGGTGTTCCAGAGGTAGGACAGCAACACCACTGAACCCATGACAATTCTGTGAAAGCTTCTTCCCACTTCTGTCAACGCAGCTCATTCTCAACAGGGAGGCCCTCTACTATTCAGTTCCAAATGTGTACAAGTTTTGGTGTAGCTAAATTTATGCAGAAGAAGAAAATCCAACATTGTCTCTAGAAATTAAATAATGAAAATAGCTTGCTTCACTGCATTCTGGGAAAGAAAGCACTGTCACATTTAAACTATATGCAACAGCTAAAGTTTTACTCATTTTAAAACTGAAAAGTTTAATTCCAGCACAAGTCTTAAGACTGACAATGTACGTATTGTAGTTCTGCACTGCACTTCTCATGCTGGAACAGGATTTACACTCTTCAGGAGTTTTATTCATTTTTAAACTGTAAAGTTTAATTCCAGCACAAGTCTTAGGACTGACAATGTACGTATTGTAGCTCTGCACTGTACTTTTCATGCTGGAACAGGATTTACACTCTTCAGGCATTTTTCCATACAACAATATTACGTTTTGAAATAATGAAAGTAGATTTGAACATATAATACTAAGGTTTTATAGCTGTATTTAACATCTTATAGGCATTCTTCCATACAACAATATTACGTTTTGAAATAATTAAAGTAGATTTGAACATATAATACTAAGGTTTTATAGCTGTATTCAACATCTTATAATTCCTAGTCAAGAAAAATGTTGCTGACTTACCCTTTGGTCTTGCTGTATTGCCTTCATGTTTCTTGGTTTCCTTAAATACCTGCCCAAACTCATTTGTCATCTGGAATATGTATAAGGAGACGCAAGTACTGTACCAATTCAACTTTCTCAAGTTATTGTCTATGCTATTTGTTAAAACCACTTACTATACAAAGCACTGTTACAGCAAACACCTAACAAATACCTAATTTTAGCAGCATCATATCAGTATTTTCAAAACAAACCCTTCTAAAAACTCAGTTTTCTGAGAGGTCTACAACTGTATTTATGGCTTTCAGAGTAGGACCTACACAACACTACATTTCCTATTGTTACACACAAACAAGCTACAAAAGAAACCAATTTAGTATCTAAAATGTAGATACTATTGCTTAAATCTAGAGACAAAGAGTATACCATACCTCAGAAGGCAAATAATTTTTGATAAGTCTGGTTAAACAACTTCTTGCAAGAATAGTACTGGCTGATGGACGATTCTTGGGATTTCTTTTAAACATCTGTTTTATTAAGTAATGAAGTTCATAGGAATAATGAGATGGTAGTGGATTGTAGGATCCTTTGCATATCTTAAGGATGAGATGCTTCCAGCTCTTGGCTTGAAACTACATTAAAAACAAATGAACATTAGAGCACGGAGTTTAAGCACAAGATAAAAAGAAACTGACAAAATTTAAGAGCAACTCTGATTATATAAAAACGCATGGTATGTATCTATGTAGGGTCACTATTACCATACTGATTTGGCTCTCAGTTTGACAGATTCAGGGTTCTAATTCCGAGGTGTGGAATGATGACTCTGAGTGAACACATTAGTAACTTTCCATTTTGTAGGGCTATTACATAGGCACTTATTTAACAATGACAGAAACATCATTTGCGAAGAATGAAATCATTACAGTTTGCATTCAAAGTTTGACTAAAACCAGATCATAATGGACATTGCAAACAATAACCTGTACAACTGGAAACCAGGTGGGAGTTACTCCTATAAATTTAAGATTGTTCAGTGTCCTGCTTTTGGGTGGGATAGTTAATTTTCTTACTAGCAGCTGGTATAGTGCTGTGTTTTGGGCTTAGTTTGAGAAGAATGTTTATAACACATGAATATTTTAGTTATTGCTAAGCAGTCAAAGTGGTTTCAACTTCTCATACTGGCCTGCCATCAAGAAGGCAGGGGAGACCCAAGAAGTTGAGAGGGGACACAGCCCAGACAGCTGACCCCAACTGGCCAAAGGGGTATTCCATACCATATGACATCATGCTCAGCGTATAAACTAGGGGGAAGGAAAAGGGGGACACCTTCAGAGTAATGGCATTTGTCTTCCCAAGTAACCGTTATGCATAAAATCATAGAATCATAGAATGGTTTGGGTTGGAAGGGACCTTAAAGATCATCAAGTTCCAACCCCCCTGCCACGGGAGGGACACCTCTCACTAGAGCAGGTTGCTCAAAGCCCCATCCAGCCTGGCCTTGAACACTTCCAGGGATGGGGCATCCACAACTTCTCTGGGCAACCTGTTCCAGCATCTCGCCACCCTCATAGTAAAGAATTTCTTCCTAGTATCTAATCTAAATCTCCCCTCTTTCTATTTAAAACCATTACCCCTTGTCCTATTGCTACACTCCCTGATAAAGAGTCCCTCCCCACCTCTCCTGTAGCCCCTTTTAGGTACTGAAAGGCTGCTATAAGGTTTCCCTGGAGCTTTTTCTTCTCCAGGCTGAACAACTCCAGCTCTCTCAGCCTGTCCTCATAGGTGAGGTGCTCCATCCCTCTGACCACTTTCGTGGCCCTTCGCTGGACCCATTCCAACAGGTCCATGTCCTGCCTGTGCTGAGGGCTCCAAAGCTGGACACAGTGCTCCAGGTGGGGTCTCACAAGAACAGAGTAGATGGGCAGAATCAGATGGAGCCCTGCTTTCCTAGAGATGGCTGAACGCCTGCCTGCTGATGGGAAGTGGTGAATTAATTCCTTGTTTTGCTTTGCTTGTCTGTGGGGCCTTTGCTTCACTTATTAAACTGTCTTTATCTCATCCCATGAGTTTTCTCATTTTCACTCTTCTGATTGTCTCCCCCATCCCACCAGGGGAGTGAGCAAGCAGCTGTGTGGTACTTAGCAGCATTCAAATTTTATTTTTATAGAAATATAGCATTCAGGAAATTTGGATCATTTTTGCGTCCTTTATGTCACATACATGAGATCAGAATCAAACTGCAAGAGTGAAACCGTAAGCCAGGAAAAATGCAAACTTCCAATTTAAAAAAAAAGAAAAGAAAAAAAAATCATCAGAAGATCAAAAGTAGCCCATCACAGCACAAATAGCCTCTTGCAAATCTACATGAAATGGCTGAACTTGTTACTTTCCTCAGCTGACTGTTAACCAGTCTTCAGTCAGGAATTACTGCTTCCAAGTCCAAGTCATGGGATGACTGTGGTATCAGCAAGGACAGCTGTAAGCACGGATGGCAACAGCCTGAGCAGAAATGGCCGGGAACTTCTCCCTCCCTGCAGAAAGTTTTCTTATGGCACACCCTGCTGCCTTGACTTTTGTATCACCTCTGACGGATTATGCAAGATGGTATGTGACCATCAGATAAAAACAGATATATAATATTATTTCACTGCTGCTAAAAAGGGAAGAATGCTCCACTCCTTGGTATCCCAGCTCCAAGCATGGCCTGAATAGCTGTGACACTGCCAAAGCCTTGCTACAGACCTACTTAGGCCACTTTCGTGGCCCTTCGCTGGACCCATTCCAACAGGTCCATGTCCTGCCTGTGCTGAGGGCTCCAAAGCTGGACACAGTGCTCCAGGTGGGGTCTCACAAGAACAGAGTAGATGGGCAGAATCAGATGGAGCCCTGCTTTCCTAGAGATGGCTGAACGCCTGCCTGCTGATGGGAAGTGGTGAATTAATTCCTTGTTTTGCTTTGCTTGTCTGTGGGGCCTTTGCTTCACTTATTAAACTGTCTTTATCTCATCCCATGAGTTTTCTCATTTTCACTCTTCTGATTGTCTCCCCCATCCCACCAGGGGAGTGAGCAAGCAGCTGTGTGGTACTTAGCAGCATTCAAATTTTATTTTTATAGAAATATAGCATTCAGGAAATTTGGATCATTTTTGCGTCCTTTATGTCACATACATGAGATCAGAATCAAACTGCAAGAGTGAAACCGTAAGCCAGGAAAAATGCAAACTTCCAATTTAAAAAAAAAGAAAAGAAAAAAAAATCATCAGAAGATCAAAAGTAGCCCATCACAGCACAAATAGCCTCTTGCAAATCTACATGAAATGGCTGAACTTGTTACTTTCCTCAGCTGACTGTTAACCAGTCTTCAGTCAGGAATTACTGCTTCCAAGTCCAAGTCATGGGATGACTGTGGTATCAGCAAGGACAGCTGTAAGCACGGATGGCAACAGCCTGAGCAGAAATGGCCGGGAACTTCTCCCTCCCTGCAGAAAGTTTTCTTATGGCACACCCTGCTGCCTTGACTTTTGTATCACCTCTGACGGATTATGCAAGATGGTATGTGACCATCAGATAAAAACAGATATATAATATTATTTCACTGCTGCTAAAAAGGGAAGAATGCTCCACTCCTTGGTATCCCAGCTCCAAGCATGGCCTGAATAGCTGTGACACTGCCAAAGCCTTGCTACAGACCTACTTAGGCTAACACATGCCTCTACACAGGCTCCTTTATCAATCTGTGACATACAGTATAAATTTCTAAGTTCTTGTACTGCTAGCTGTTGCAGCTGTAGAGAACTTTTGCTGATTCCAAGGTATAGGTTTAGCTCAATGAAAGGAAACTGCTGCTTATAAAAAAAACTAAGACAAAATGACCTTAAATTAGGATGATCTCATTTTCTTGCAAAACAAACGTATCCTGATAAGGGGCCTCGTGTTAGCCATGTGTCTGTATATAGAAGCTGAAGGCAGTTAACACCTGAAAAGCACAGCATCAGCACTGTGAAAGACAGTGTCCCAGAAATGACAGAACCATCCATCCAGGTTCCCACTGTCCCAATAGGAGGATAGTGCTTGGACAGTGACTGACTTGATTTGAAGAATAAGCAAATAGGTACCACTGATGCAAGGGACAAAACTGTTTATTGCTTACTACATTCTCCTATACTCGCACACGATATATTGTCATTAGCAAAGATTTTGAGTGTCATTGCCTCCATCTTCTGGGATTGCCCTGATCCTGTAAAACACAATGTTCATTGCAACATCCCTGCAGATACCTGGAACCAGTCTGGTGGCTGGTGGACTCCTTAATAAGCCCCAGATCACCTCATTTGGTACTGAGAAAAATTAACCAAGAAAGAAAACCAGAAGCCATGTAGTGGAGGAGAGGTGAGAAGGGTAAAGCAATATATCCCTCTTTCAAAAAGAGCAGCAAACACATCAGTCAAATTATAACTGACTATGAATCTATCGAACTACAGCCAACTACTAATTAAGTTTTAAGGAATTCCAAAACTTTTCTGATAGCAATAAAGCTGCACTTACCGGATGTCTAAGAGTGCACAGCTCATACAAGATGCATCCCAGAGACCAGATATCACTGTAGGTATAGAGAAAGATGAGAAATTTTGAGCCAAAAATTACAATTTAATATCCTGCCTGGAAAAAGTGAAATTCATTATGTGTACATAACTGAATTGAGTAAACTAAAAACAAATGTAAGTAACCATAAAAGACAATCCAATTATGTGTTTAACCTCTCCAGTGGAAATGCTCTTGCATATTTAATCCTACCCTGATGTAAGAAAGGATAACTGTCATGTAATTGGCTTTTTATTCCTAGAATGACTTTCAAGCAATTTGCTGCAACAGTATTTATCCTTCTGCATTTTAAAGCCTTTGTGTTCCATGGCCCTTAACATCCTAATTCTGAGAGCTGGAATTCTGTCCTTGCCAATAGGAATTCTTCTACTGAAAAAAACCATCACCTTCCACCAAAAGCGAGTACTGCCACCTGCACAAGAAGCAACTGATGCCTCTCTTTCAAGAAGAGCAGAAAAAACTTAGGTGCTAGAAGGTTTCTTCCCTCCTCTGGAAAATGAATCGCTCAGTTCAGGTACAACTGGGGTCACAGAACAGATCTAGGGGAGGGGATACAAAATGACTTAACATTTTGGAGCCTGGGAGGATGTTGAAAATGCCATACTATCAAGATGCTCTCAAAAGTTCTTGCATGAGGACCAGAATTAGTGGCGTCTATAAATCTAAGTCACTTGTTCTGTAACCAGTTCCCCTATATTGTCATCAGGACTGGCTAGAAGAGCTTTAAAAATATGACCAGCCAAAAAAATAAGACCAGTAAAAAGACACAAACACATACATACCTATGTGCATACATACGCACATACATGTTTGTATGTATGTAATTACTCTCCCAAATTCACAGAAAGGTCTGCACACCAGTTTTCAAACTTTTAAGACTAAAGATACTGTTACCCAAGTAAAGAGGAATTGATGCTTTTGCATCTTTTAATTGCCTCTTAATATTCTTCAGCTCGATACCTTCTCCAAACTAAATATGGATACACCACAAAGCCAAATTGAGACAGTAATAAAAATATATACATCAGTCAGGCATTATTTGTGACCACTGAAAACAGGAATACCTTTTGTTGTTGTATGGCAGGCTTTCCCATATTTCTGGAGGTACGTAATAAGGAGTCCCCACATACGTGCAAGCGTACGACACTGGGCTATTGAAATGACAAAGAAGAAACACCAGATGAAAAGTAACAATTTAAAAACTCCACACTATCTATCGATGGTAAAATAAAACTTTACACCACTGAGATCAGTGGAGATATCCACATACTGTGCAAGAAGGCGCGCAGATCCAAAATCTCCCAGTTTGACTTTTCCACTTTGAGTGAGGAAGACATTCTGCATTTCAATAGGGTAGATTAGCATTATTCTAGGAAACATATCTGCAGTTTGTATATACAGAAAATACAGTGCCCATCATTTCTGATATTTTATCTTTCTATTTCCTTTTACTTGTTCCTCCTAATACTTCGACAGAAAAAAAAAAAGTAATATTAAGAACTATGTTTTGTTTAAAGGGAAACGGAAAGGTTATATGGGACTGAAGCCCCAGCATCAGTAGCAGAGGAAGAATCAGAGCTTAGAAATGCCACACTTTCTGCTGAATTTCTACCTTTCTGCTTGAAAATAGTAAGAAAGAAAAAAATGAGGGGCAAGATATTTACAAATTGCATGCTCTATACATGTTTTATACTTCTGTGATTGTTTTAAATTGTATGCAGTCTGTCACAAGCAATTAGTGCTATCAGCAGTGTCGATATGAAGGGTATAGCTATACTTAGACGATGTTTATGCCCACAGTATTATGTTATCCCATACACCAAATAATTTCTTAAGCTTAAATGAAAAACACAGCATGTAGCAGTAACAGGAAATCATGAAATAGGGAGCTGAACTGTTGCATGCAGAAGAGAGTTTATTAATGGCAACAAAACTTGCTCTGTTCACCTTGGATTTGATATCCCTGTGCAACACACGTTTATCATGAATGTGCTTCACACCCAGGCACATCTGCACAAACCAGTGAAGGATCTGAAAAGAGTAAGAGTTATAACAACTCAATGCTGCATATAATGCTTTACTAATAGATAAAAAACCCCACTAAGATAGATTAAAAAAAAAGCATGTTCAGAATATCTGGGAGCTAAAAGCAACTCTAGGGTAATAGCCTCCAGTCAACATGAAAGATAAAGATTTAACATAAAGTATATTTTAACACGGCAGAAGGAATGTTTACTAGCCGTGCCTAGAAAACTCTAATAATATATAACAATAATGAAGCTAAGGAGGTGCTACATGGCACTTCATCTGATGGTCACTTTTGTAAGAAGTCAATTACAATTTCATAGTCAATTAACAAATTAAAAAAACAAACAAAACAAAAAACCCTCACCAAACCAAAAAACCATCCCAAACCCACACTGAAACAACACACTGTTTCTAAAAGGAAATGTATTCTTTTTTTAAAGTAACAAATGAAGTTCTAGAGATGCTTGGCTAATCTAAATATTAGATTAGGTGAGGATTCTGGTCTTTTCATTTTAACTAAAAGATGTTCCTAGGAAGTAGCTTTCAGTCACTACAATGTCACTCTGGACCTTCTCCCAAGTAATTATATAGCCTCTGTGATAAGAGGAGTTAATGCCTGCTGAATGGTTTAAACATTTAATTGCTACATAAAATGCAGGCATTTAGTCTCCTGGCTAGTTTCATTTATCTTACCAAAAAACCCTCACCAAACCAAAAAACCATCCCAAACCCACACTGAAACAACACACTGTTTCTAAAAGGAAATGTATTCTTTTTTTAAAGTAACAAATGAAGTTCTTAGAGATGCTTGGCTAATCTAAATATTAGATTAGGTGAGGATTCTGGTCTTTTCATTTTAACTCAAAGATGTTCCTAGGAAGTAGCTTTCAGTCACTACAATGTCACTCTGGACCTTCTCCCAAGTAATTTTATAGCCTCTGTGATAAAAGGAGTTAATGCCTGCTGAATGGTTTAAACATTTAATTACTACATAAAATGCAGGCATTTAGTCTCCTGGCTAGTTTCATTTATCTTACCAGAGTGCTTTATTTACTTTTCATTTGCAGCACTTCTTTCTGCACTTTAAATTCTGGCTGAAGTTTGTGTCAAATTCTTACTTAATTGCATAAATTTATGCATGCAAACCTGACTCTGTTTTTCTCACTGCCTGCACAATTCTTGGATATTGACAGCAATCTCTTTTTTTATTCCTTTCAGTCCAATTCTCATCTTGTTCTGCTGGAAATTAACAAAGAAATAATGCTTCTATTCTATCTATAAATGTCTTTGTTTCATCTAAAGTACTTCAAGGTGTTTGTACATCTATAATTTGTTTTAGGTAATGCAAGGTGTTTCAGTTTACATGAAAAAGCATTCCTAGGTGCTTGGTTCAAAATACTGTATTTTCTTACCGCATCTTCAGGGAACAATTTTCCTCCTTGGTGTTTAATCTTTTGCATTAGATCTCCATCATCACAATATTCCATCACTATATACAGATGTCCATCAGCTAAATTTTAGGTAATTTAAGAATAGTTAGTATTTTCATTAGCAGGGTTAAGTAGATTATTTGTACTATAAAGCTCCGACATGATATGTATTATATATTAAAATAAACACATATTTAATTTATAACAGGAATTGAGTGCTTTATTTACTTTTCATTTGCAGCACTTCTTTCTGCACTTTAAATTCTGGCTGAAGTTTGTGTCAAATTCTTACTTAATTGCATAAATTTATGCATGCAAACCTGACTCTGTTTTTCTCACTGCCTGCACAATTCTTGGATATTGACAGCAATCTCTTTTTTTATTCCTTTCAGTCCAATTCTCATCTTGTTCTGCTGGAAATTAACAAAGAAATAATGCTTATATTCTATCTATAAATGTCTTTGTTTAGATTCATCTAAAGTACTTCAAGGTGTTTGTATATCTATAATTTGTTTCAGGCAGTGCAAAGTGCTTCAGTTTACATGAAAAAGGATTCCTAGGTGCTTGGTTCAAAATACTGTCTTTTCTTACCGTATCTTCAGGGAACAATTTTCCTCCTTGGTGTTTAATCTTTTGCATTAGATCTCCATCATCACAATATTCCATCACTATATACAGATGTCCATCAGCTAAATTTTAGGTAATTTAAGAATAGTTAGTATTTTCATTAGCAGGGTTAAGTAGATTATTTGTACTATAAAGCTCCGACATGATATGTATTATATATTAAAATAAACACATATTTAATTTATAACAGGAATTACCAGAATTATGATTAATTTCTTTTTTTTTTTTTTTAAGTGGTGGGTGAGGTGATGTACATGTCATGCTTACCATGGGAAGTCTTATTTCCTTCATTGCATACTTCTGGTCACTGATTCTATGATGAACTAGGAGAGCTCTGCCAAAGGAGCCCTCTCCTAGTACTTTCAGCACTTCGTACTCTTCCATTCTTTATAAGCCTAGCTCCAACACTTCTCTTCAAACACTCTCTTTCACAGATTATCTTCTAAACTTTGTCATGACCTTGATTCACTTCCTGAAATTTACTGTTAACATAATCTGCAAGAGACAAAAAAACGCAAAATAATGAGAATGGGTGATAAATGTGGGTACCTACAACTATTCAGCATTACCATAAATAGAATTCAAACCGCTCTTACCTTTTTATTTTTGCTGTAAAAGAGGCCTTCAGAAAGTTCATACAGTGTACCTCTGCATTTTTTCTTTTTAATTTTGAATGCTAAAGCCCTTTGAAAATGTAAATGATAGACCTACGATTTAGCATCTTCTTTTTGTTACCTGCACTTCTGCCGGCGGTTTCATAACCTTCATCAAAACTCACAGGCAGCGTATTACAAACTTCAAGCTTTCAGTGACAATTCTCACCTAGTACAGCGTAAGTGGAATAGGATAGGATGGGATGGGTTGGGATGGTTGGAAAGGACATACAACCATCATCTAGTCCAACTGCCTGACCAGTTCAGGGCTGACCAAGCATTAAAGCACGATGTTAAGGGCATTGTCCAAATGCCTCTTTAAACACTGACAGGCTTGGGGCATCGACCACCTCTCTAGAAAGCCTGTTCCAGTGTCTGGTCACCCTTTTGGTAAAGAAATGCTTCCTAATGTCCAGCCTAAAATTATAAACAACAACAAAAAAGTAATCTTGATTGCTCAGGAGTAAGCAACTTTAAACAAATAGAGGTATCTTGAGTTTTCAGATTTACCTTCAAATGATTCTATGTAGGCAACGATATTTGGATGTTTCATTTTAGCCAAAAGAATTGCTTCCTTCCTAGAGTTCTCTACATCAGATGAAGACTGAAAACATAAGTACACTTATATAAATATCACAGTAACAAATTTTCATATATACACATGATGCACCTCACTTTCCAAAAGGAAAATATTTTTAAGAATTGTTCTTCAGTTATTTTAAGAAGCTATTTCAATTTTGAATGCTAAAGCTCTTAGAAAATGTAAATGATAGACCTATGATTTAGCATCTTCTTTTCGTTACCTGCACTTCTCCTGGCGGTTTTGTAACCGTCATCAAAACTCACAGGCAGCGTATTACAAACTTCAAGCTTTCAGTGACAATTCTCACCTAGTACAGCATAAGTGGGATGGGATGGGATGGGATGGGATGGTTGGAAGGGACATACAACCATCATATAGTCCAACTGCCTGACCAGTTCAGGGCTGACCAAGCAGTAAAGCACGATGTTAAGGGCACTGTCCAAATGCCTCTTTAAACACTGACAGGCTTGGGGCATTGACCACCTCTCTAGAAAGCCTGTTCCAGTGTCTGGTCACCCTTTTGGTAAAGAATGCTTCCTAATGTCCAGCCTAAACCTCCCTTGACACAGCTTTGAACCATTCCCATGTATCCTGTCAGTGGATTTATGGATTATATTTAAGGATTATGATGTTGTTTGCTCAACATGCTGGTACTTTTAAGTTAGGTATCCATGACTCCAACATCACTTTATATATACAGCTGTGCATATAGTGTTTTAACGGGCTGACGTTTTGTTTTTAGGAGTCATCTCAGGCCGTAATCGTTTCTGGAAGGATAAAACACCGATTTACTCAGAGGCTGAAAAATAATCACGGCGATTCATTCGCTTGAACAAACTCTGAAGGCCCCTAAGCGATGACTAAAGATGGCGTTTTTCAGGGGAACGGGCACACTCGGTGTGTGCTTCACATTAATAACAGTTAAACCTGGTAGTTATATCTCCCCTTCCATGAGGAGGGGAAGCCGAAGCCCCACCCCAGGCCCCTCAAGCCCCGCCGGGCCCTCAAGGCCTGAGGAAAAGGCGTTACTCACCTCAGAGGGGCCGCGCAAACCGCCCGAGGCCTGAGGAAAGGCCCTCTTGGGCAATGCCCGGCGCTTCCTCCACTACCGGGTCGGGCTCCCTCAGCCTCCCCCGGGTAGGGCTGGGGGCGGAGGGTCGAGGAGGA